TTAGAGGGCCCGACTCCCACGAAGCGCCACCATGGTTGGCACAGAACGGGAAAATTTTGCGTCTCTAAATCGTCGGAAATGGCATTTTCAAAATCTTCTCTACCTCTTTTGTTAGTCCCTTTCATTACTAAGTTCGTTCATTATGATTTGTGAGTCTATACTATCTGCGTGTCAGGACGGATTATTACGAGAAATGTTGTTATCAAAATATCGATTACAGATATTATATATATATATATATATATATATATATATATATATATATATATATATATATATATATATATATATATATATATATATATATATATATATATATATATATATATATATATATATATATATATATATATATATATATATATATAAGATTTCAAATACTTCAAGTTTCGAAATCAATTGGGTTTTTTTGGTGGGGGCCAAATTTATCCCCCCTTATAAAACGGTGGCTTGGGGGCCCGTTTTTCCCTGCTTCATACGCCCCCTGCGGACGCTAACTTGTTTAGCCAAGCCTGCCAACAACTCAAATCTATGGGGACTGGAAAATGAAATCCACTGGAAATGTTTAAAATCTAATAAGGTATTTATAACACAATGTTTAGCATTAAAGTTAAAAGACTGGACATATGATTCACAAAGCAAGTTTCGGTTACTAGAATATCAAACCTCCCTTCTAAATTCCATGTTTTGTTTATATTTTAGAGAAAATGGACTTTGACTGGGGGGAAGAATGGTTGAGTGTGTGGGACACCATGGGGGCTGGGGGGAGGGGCTTTGCCCCCCCCCCCAGTTATATAGTTAAAAAATTTCCTGGTACATTAACCTGAGATCAGGCTCTAAATATAGCATGACATAAACCTTATTCCAATAGCTTTCCGCCCATAGTAAAGTTTATATTTAGTATCCAATCAAAAAGTCGCAGCAGAGATTTAAATTTCACACACCGACAATAACAATCCAATTATAGTTGTAATCAGTATAAAATATATCATCAACAATAGTCCTAACTAGCACAACTAATCAAATGACAGAATGTCTTGTCTCCTAGACCAATGAGATTTGCAACCGAAATACGGTTGTAATTAAGGCATGGACTTTTGTTAAGGTTTGTATCAGGCCTGTTTATTTATTCATAGGCGTGCTCGCAGGTTACAGGTCCCCAAGTGAATATTATTTCCATGCTTAGTCAGGAAAACTTACGTAAGCACAAGTTACATTGATAAGCAGAAGTTTGTAATTGCTCTTGTTCGTATTGCCCATGCTGCATATGTCGTTTGACGATAATAACAAATGACAAGTAATGTACATTTCTAGTGTTCTGGACCGCTGTTTGGCATAAAAACCAGTCCTAAATATGAAGAAATTTAAATATTTAAGAATGTCGGGATTGTAATAGTCACTGCATCTTCATACTTATTTCCAACGAGAAATCCCGAAATATTTGGATAATTTGTCCCGTTATATTAACGTTTATTAAAACTATAAAATTATTCAAAACAGACTCCTTTCAGGAAAGATTTCAGGAAAAGAAGACTCGATTGAAACGTCGAAATTCTTGTTATAATCTTCAGGTGCATGGTTTTATAACAAAAGTACTTGCGGGGAGGTGAGTCCGGGATTGGACGCTCCGAGGGTGGCTGGAAGTTTCCCGAACTTACCGAGCGAAGCGAGGTGAGTTCGGGAAACTTCCAGCCACCCATGGTGCGTCCAATCCCCGGACTCACCGAACCTGCAAGTACGTTTGGTTTTTATCTCATTCACCGAGCCATACACACATTTGTAGAATTGTAGCTCTTCGCGATATATTCGTCGATGTTTTGTGAACATTTTCCCGGCCAAAAAAATCACTGAGCAAGAAAATAATTCTTTATCTACGTCTACATACCTTTACTGCATTTTTTCTTTGGTTTTTCTTCAGTCTCAGTATGTTAGTTACCGAAAAAAGTTCTTTAAAATTTAGGTTTATCGGCTAAATCTTGTCCACCATATTTGTTATTGTTATTGCAACGTAAGCAGTTTAGTGGGTGAGTTCGGGCGAAAAGCATGTGAGTTCGGCAAAAAGCAGGTGAGCTCGACGACAAGCTCACCTGCTCTAAACCAATCAGAAAGCCGCTTTTAACACAGGTATGGGATAAGTCTTCGAACCTGTAATCTATTAAAATAAGCCTGCGTAGCGCCTCTCAGAGAAAGGAGAGCCTGCACGAAACCCCATGCTTTGCTATTTCCGCCAATGGACTTAGCCTGCGGGCTACGCCCACTTTAAACAGATGTCAAAATTGGCCGATCACACAGATTGTTTACGTTTGCAAATTTACTTGTCAAAATTGATGAAATACAAATATAGATTGCTGTATGTTCGAAAATTTCAAAACGAAATAATATAAAGAAAGCGGCTAATGAAAATTGAATTCTGTGGGAATAGCGCTAGGCCTAGGGCAATCTCCATCGTTGTCACAAGTAGTTTGCAGTCCGTATCTACGATGCCATATCTACAACCACTTTCAGAAGTTGTTGGGACACATGTAGTT